CCCGACTGGAGAAAACAATTACCATAAAGCTACTTCCTCATTGCTTAACTGAAAAAAAAATATTTACTTTCAGTAAAAAACTTTAACTTCTTGAATTTATGAAGTATCATAGTGAACTTTGAGACTCATAAAACTGCATATTGATTCAGCCAATATAACATATAAAACCCTTTTAATATTAGAGAAAGAAAACCCTTTTAGATGAGGCTATGTTACCTGAAACCAAGATATTTGCTTTGCTATATAGAGCTGTGCATAGTCTATAAATTAAGATAGAGAGAAAGCACTAGAAAGGAACATATCAACAAATAAAAAGACAAACCAATTCCAACAATATATTAAATCTTGAATAACAACATATAATGATAATATCAATAGTTTGAATTTAAGTGAATGCGAGGGGACAAACATATATATATATATATATATAAACAAAGTTTTGTTGAGACCTTTGAGATATCATTATTTAATTGTTATTAATATTTAGGTTAATGTGAACAGACTAATATGAATCTATATCATTTAGTTAGACATTTTGATGCCCAATATATGTTATTAATACTAATAAATAGCAATTTTAGAACTGCAATTGAAATCCTGCGTGTATATTTCACATATTCATGAAGCGTTTGTATCTAAGAGTTGAATGTGGAGGGATTAAACCTTTGGAATGCCTAATGAAATAAAATCACTAATTTATTAATATGTCATTAATAAAATTTTGAATAAAATTCTTTATGATTAAATTTTGGGAGGTGAAAGGTTAGTATTAATGAGAATATATATATATATAATGTCAAACTTAAAGTTTTGATTAATTAAGTGCATAATTAGAATTAGGATCTACGTAAAAGTGTTTTAATTTTATTAAAATAATTATTTTTGAATAAAATAATAGATTTGATTGAATAATATTTGCTTCAATTATCAAGTTCTAAATATAACTATAGTAAATTAGTAATTATATAAGATAAATAGATGAACATTAATACATTATTTAATTAAATAATTAAATATTTAATTATTTATAACATTATAGTATGACAACTCATGGTATATTAAGAAAGGTAAGTGTTTTGTAATCAAACTTAAATAATTGACATTAGTACATGATAATTTAATTATATATTAAGAAAAGTAATTATATATGATAAATTGATGAAAATTAGTACATTACTTAATTAAATAATTAGATATTTAATTAATTATAATATTATAGTATGACAACTCACGGTATATTAAGAAAGGTAAGTGTTTTGTAATCAAACTTAAATTAATGAAATAAAACAAATTTAGAATCATACTAATTATTTAATTAAAAATTCATAAATCATTTTAATATTAATATTTAATTTGATTCTTTTGTCACAATTTATGTTAATTTAATTTATGGGTAAATTCAAAAACTTCATTTTCACTCTAGCAATTATAATATTATATAAATTATTTTAATTAACTCATAAGTATGATTGTATGAATCCAAGTTCAACGAGCATTAAAGATAAGTGATTACTTGTTAATTTATTTAAATACAAAAATCCAAAACCACCTACTAATTGTGTATGAAATATTTTCCTAAATAATTTAGTTATTAGTAATTATATTTTATTTCTCTATCTAAAAAAAATATTATAATGTTAAATTTTTGAGGGCTTGTGATTAAGATTTAAGAGAATCAAAATATATTAGATTCATTAATTAAGTATATAATTTGAATTATGATCTAATTAAAAGTGTTTTAATGTTATTAAAAAAAATATTTTTGAAAAAATAGTATATTTGATTGAATAATATTTACTTCAATTATCAAAATCTAAGCATATCTATAGTAAATTAGTAATTGTATATGATAAATTGATGAACATTAATATATTATATAATTAAATGATTAAATATTTAATTAACTTATGGGCAAGTTCAAAAACTTCATTTTCACTCTAGTAATTATAATGTTATATAATATTATTTTTGGAAAATAAAGTTCACTAAAATTTAATTCCCAAAATTAATTCCACAACTATACTTTGATGTAAAATTTAACATATATTATTTCCAAGGATCTATGACTGTGATTAGACACAAATGAATGAGTAATGAAAATCGAAAATTACTAAATGCTCGTTTTCTTAAACTTCAGGGTGTAGTTGTAAACATTGTTTTAAAACTTGGCCCGACCGGGCCGGTTGAACCGGGACCCGACTGGTGAGTCGGGCCGGGTGAGGCTCAAAACCGCATCAGTTGCCCACTTACACTCGCAATTGGATCGATGCACTGTAGTACCCGTTGGTCCAACCGTTATTTAAAAAAAAACCGGGTCAACTAATTTATAAAATTAAAAATTTAAATTAAACTCTAAAACAGTAAAACCCATAAATTATAATTATATAAATTGAACAGTAAAACCCCCCTATCCCAAAGCATCTATCAACATTCCCGCCACCCCCCCCATTTTAACGACATTTCCCACACTTTTGGTCTGAAAGTCTGAAATTGAAATCTTCCACCGGATCTCCCATTCATAGTAAAATCTCGTCGCTTCAGCCTTCACCGTCAACTGCTTACTTCGTCGTCAGCTGGGGTACCGCGAATCTCCTCCCATTTCGCAATCTTCTCTATCCTCTCACACTCTTCTTCACCGCCGATCTACGATGTTCATCCGTCGTCGTCAATCTTCTCGGAGCTACACAGTCGATCTCGTCTTCTTCTTGCCCAAGAACTGTCACCTCTTCCCCTCACATTGCTTGAATCTCAGCTATTCATAGTTGCATTGTTCACAGTTGCACTATTCACAGCTGAGCTCCATCTCTCCGACGGTCAACTCAACTGTCAACGGCAACTCATCTTCACCAGCACCGGGTAATTGTCACGATGTCACCTTACTGATGTACATTCCACTATTCCAGTAGCAAACCTTTAATTTTGTTTTGGTGAATGATGAATGAACACTTGATTTGAGTTGTTAATTTTGTTTATGTGATTTCTTCCTTTATTTTGTTTTTTTGATTTGTAATTTGTTGTATTATTGATGTAATGATGTTTGATGATGCTTTGCTAAGGTCTTTTTATTAAGGGGTTTATAATTTGGATTCAAATTTTGCAATTTTACATTCTGTGAACAGTAATGTTGCTGACATCATCATGTTGACGTCAACATGATGATGTCATCGGTTGAATCAGCTAGTTCAACTGATTGAACCGGTCAACTTAGGACTCCGTCAGCTTGTCGGGTTTTGTCTCAGGTCGGTTTTTAAAACATTGGTTGTAAATTTTTAAGGTTTATTTGATATTTTTTAAATTAATAGGGAGTAATTAAATTTTATAGGGTACCCGAGTAAGAAACCTAAGAATCAGAACAGATCGGTTTCAGTTCTGGTTCCAAATCTTAAGAACGGTTTCGGTTTCGATTCCGACAAAAAGTATAGGGTACCCGAAACCGTTCACCCGTAATTGCCTAACAAGTTCCATGAAATTATGTAAACTCTATGTTGTCATTATTCACTTGATGTTCTGGTGAGCTTATAAGTTGACAGTAATTATATCTAAACACACATCAGTGAAATTTTTGGGTTTGAATAACAACAATTGTGAAGTGGTTCGGTCTTAATGATAGTCATAGTTGTGATTGATTGAATGAGTTGCCATTATCATGTACTATAAGTAAGTAGAAAACACTCCATCTGTCATCATGTGATGATATCTTGTATAATCAGTATGACATGTCAATCTGCACGGAATTATAGGAAACGCCATGTCATACTGATTAAAAAGAGTATGATTTGTCATCCGTCTTAGAAGTATTATTAAGTTTATAACGTCAGGTCGGCTACAATAGAAGGATAATATCAATTACACCCACTGTGGTTCAGTAAATATCACAAAAACCTTAATTTCATAAATGATATTTACCATATTTCTTATTGTTTGCGATAGCAGTAAAAATATTTCGAGGAAAGCATAGAAGTGATTTTTCTTACTGGATGTTGGCACCTGAGTGGCAGAAATTTAAGGTCGAAGCTTTTGATCTCAATTTTCGATTATTGCATAGTTTGGCTGCCTCATAGTAATAATAATCAATCCTTCAACAACAATTTAGTGCACAATTATGGTTGTGATTATCAGAGTTAATTTCAGAAAGCAACAAAAGTGAGAAAGTTTCTATTGATATCTTCTATGCAACTCATCTATGGATTATTTCCATTGTTGAATGTATGAAGTTATTTTGTTAAAAATCGGTAGTCTAGGGTTTTTATTGGTAGTGCTTTGATATGTCTGTATGGTTAATTAACATTCATTAGTGACGCCTAGAAAGTGTTCGATGAAATTCCGTTGAAGAACGATACGTGCAGAATTGCTCTTTTATGAGTTCATTGGTTTTTCTTGAGGCTAAATTATGGGTTGAGTGACTTGAATTGGTTAGATTGACGCCCGTATTGAAGTTGGGGTATGACCCACCAGGGAACTGATGATACGAGTAGACTATAGTTAACGAATTAATTGTAAAAAAAGGACATTCAAGAAATAGTGTCATTTCACCCTCATGTACTCATCCTGTTGCTAATGTAACAAGTTCAGGAATAAAGATGGTGTTTCATCAATGAGTTAACGACTTTTTCCCACCCAAAAAATCCGGCTTGAAGAGTTAGCCGTGCGAATGGAGGTGGTGGTGGGAAATGGTGAGTGATGACAAAAAATGGAGGTTTGGGCTTTGCAGAGGAGGTGATGGAGATTCTGTGAGAGGTCTCGGAAGTGATTTTGAATGTTGGGATCGGCCGAAAACCGACAAAAACCATCGGTTGTGACGCTGCTAATGTGCATCATCTCTTACTAACATGCACCATCTCTTTTTCTTTTCTTCTTTTTCGGTGATCAAATGTTTGTTAACCATTCTGCCCTTACTAATAATAGACTTTTGATCATTTTGCCTTTCTCGTAACGAAAATTAATATCAAAATTATGTTTTGGATACTGAAATGGTATTTAAAAAGTGGGCGAGTATGGATTTGTGAGTGGGCCATTTTTTGGTTGGGAACACATAAGTCACCCCACATATAATTTGTGATATTTTTCCAACTCAAAATGCATTCAAATAGTGCTTACATGGTAATAATTCATATACAAACAATATACATGTCATTTCAATTTCGAGTAAAAGATGTTGCAAAAGATGCCGACCCCGTGTTGCTTTTCAAACGTGTCATGCTTTGGCATATTTCATATTTTTATAGTTACTTTTTGACTTCACGAGCTTCTTTACATTCTCCAACAAAGTCTGTCTCTTAAATCTAACAACAAATCTTTATATACCCTCCAAATCTTTAACCAACTCTTCAAGTAGTTAAGTTCATGTTCTTTTAACAGAACATGGAGCTTCGACTTCCAACGTTTTCTTCATGTGTTACAGTTCTAATTCTTGCATTTGTCTGTTTGTCTCTGAGTTTTGTGTATGCCGAAGGCTTTGACTCTCTGTTGGAGCTCCCACGTTCTGGCTTAAATAGAACCCGACTCAGATCCAAAAGGGTCCTTTTTGTTGCTGATTTTGGTGCCAAAGGAGACGGTCTCCATGATGATACTGAGGTAAGTTATCTACAACTTATAATACATGGTGATCAAAGCTTTTAATTGTGTTTTTAATTTAAGCTGAGGAGTCGGTGCTTCGGTTAGTTTGTTTTAATATCTTGGTATATGAACTTAGAGAGAGTAATTTTGTAATGTCTGTGAATTGTGAGTTGTCTTGGAGAGTCGAATTTTGTATAGTTTTAAAAAAAAACTGCAGTTGGTTGAGGAATTTCATGATTATGATGTCAAGTTATGTACAATAAAGACTAGAGTTACTGATTAGGAATTTCTTTCTGGGAAATTTGAACTTGTAATGGCCAAATTATGAGTTTCATTTGTGGAAATAATTTGTAAATTGAGTTGGTTTAACCAAATCTTTTGTAGTCCGAGGAAAGCTTGATATGGAGAATCGTGAATGATCACCGTTAGGGTGTTACTGTGGGATGCAAATATTCTTTTATCTTCTTCTGTTGGAAATTTGATGCAGTACTAATTTTTGCTGTTTCACTTTGTTTACTAATAAATGGAAAGATAAAGCATTTCATATGTTACGGTGCATTTTATGCTTTCAGGCTTTTGAAAATGCTTGGAAGCTAGCATGCTCTTCACGAATAAGAATTGTAATTGTAATTCCAGCTGAGTATACTTCTCTGATCCGTCCTATTGACTTTTTTGGGCCATGCAAATCGAAAGTCACTTTGGTGGTAAGAGCAAAAAAGTTTATAAGAACTGATTTTTCATAAATAATATCTTCCTATTCTATGTTAGTGCCTGAGATCAATTTTGTTCAATTTATTTCAATGGCATTGTATTTCTATAGATATCTGGTACAATTGTTGCCCCCAAAGATCCTGATGCGTGGAAGGGTTTAAATCATCGGAAATGGCTCTTCTTTCATGGGGTGAACCTTCTTACTGTTGAAGGAGGAGGGACAATCAATGGGATGGGATGGGAATGGTGGGCTAGATCATGCAAGATCAACCCTGCAAATGTATAGCTGTATTGCACTTTTAGATTTTTGTCTACTTTACAGTTACTTACCTGCATTTTTCTGAATCTGATTTATTTGATATATTGCAGCCATGTCGACATGCTCCAACGGTTAGTGCTGGTTTATTCTTTGATCAATGTATTTAGTTCTGCTCCTCTGTGCACCTTAAACACCCCTAATTATGGCTCCAAATGTTACTTTTCCCATATGGTTTTGTATGCTTAATATCTTATAACAACCACGCTTGCAGGCTGTTACTTTCCACAAGTGCAAGAATTTGAAAGTCAAGAAGCTTATGATTGTCAACAGCCAACAAATGCACATTTCATTTAGTAGCTGTCTTCGGGTTGTGACTTCCCAACTCAAAGTGATAGCACCTGCCGCTAGCCCTAACACAGATGGAATCCACATTACGGCATCACATGGTGTTGAAGTCAAAAATTGCATTGTAAGAACAGGTTGGTTATTCTCAGAAACTGCTGCATATCCGAGTGGTTGTACAATTTTTTTACCACGGCTAAAATTCTTCTCATACTCATTTAAATGCAGTAAGTTTCCTTTTTGTAGAAAATGTGGATGATAGTCTGCTTCATTTTAAGACAACAAGATTGTGGATTAGGATTTTTGGTTGTGATTGCATGTCTGTTTCGGAAAAGTGATTGTCATCATGAGTTAATAAGTTGAAAGTTTGTTTTGAGAATGAAATATCAGTATTCTAATTGTAATTTATGCCCACCTATAATTGTAATGTGCAATGGATTTGGCTACCCTGGTTACAATCTTTAAAGTATTTAACTTGTTTCCATTCTATTTAGAAAAACTTGATCAGTAGTACTTTGATGGAAACTAGTCCTACTCCTGGTTCAGATTTACTAAAGACATGTATTAGAGTGGATAGTTTATGGATTTCTTAAATAAGTAATAATACTCAATCTGGTCTGTTTACATTTGAGAAAACAATTATATCGCATCTTCAAACTCCATACAGTTAAGTTGTATGAGGTCACATCTAGTTTTCGCTTCTTTGTGACCTAACAAAGGTAAAGGTTGTATGTCCTATTTCATGAAAAAACCGTTGTTTTCTTTTGAGATCCTTATCTGTTTTATTCTTAAAATTCTTCATCCAGGAGATGACTGTATCTCTATAGTCAGCAATTCTTCACGAGTCCAAATAGAAAATATTGTCTGTGGACCAGGCCATGGTATAAGGTAAGAACAACTTTCATCCAAATTAGACCATGGGTAGAGTTATTGACCTTTACTCATTTAGATCATTGTCCATCAGCATTGGAAGCTTGGGAAAATTCAACTCATGTTCACAAATTCAAGATGTAACGGTTGATGGAGCGTTTATTTCCAACACCGAGAATGGGGTGCGAATTAAAACATGGCAGGTAGTTTTCCTAAGATGGTAGTCTCTCTTGCTCCACCTATATACATATACATGTAACTGTCAATTTATGTGTTATAGAAACTCAAACAATAATATATAGTAAATTGATTCTGTGCTTTCTTATATCTTCACCAGGGAGGTAGTGGTTTTGCCACTAACATTTTGTTCCGGAATTTGTTGATGGAAAACGTATCGAATCCAATTATAATAGACCAATACTATTGTGATTCTTTGACACCATGTGCAAACCAGGTAGAAAATTCTTACTTTTGTTCAAGTTCAAGGTTTGGGAATATCAAATCTTTTCAGCATATGTCAAAAGAAACATGGTTATAATGATAGCTGCATGTCACTGAAAACGCTATAATTGGATATTTCTTGTTTAGAAAATCGAAACACTGCTCTTCATGGTTTTTCGTTTTGAATTTAGAATTTAAACAGTCTTGCATACCTATTTCTTGTCTATGAATTTCGCTTGACGTATTTGCAGTTTGTGAAAGGAACTGTTTTGTTTTTATGTGTATCTATTATCCTGATGAAATGCAGACTTCAGCTGTTAAAATAGAGAACATATCCTTTGAGCACATTAAAGGAACTTCAGCCACAGAGGAAGCAATAGTATTTGCATGCAGCGATTACACACCATGTGAAGGCTTATATCTGGAAGACATTCAACTTGTGTCACACTCTAGGGGAATCACAAGTTCATTCTGTTGGAATGCTTACGGGTCAAGTGTGGGTTTAATATACCCGCCTGCTTGCTTCACATGCACAGAAGGGTTAATTCGACAGTATGTCTCATCTAACTACACTTTAAGTACCAAAGGTACGCTTTTCAATCCTTCTAAAGAGACTAGAGAGGTCAGTCTTTTCTAATATGTGCAAGGCCACGCCCTTTCTAGTGCAAAGTATGTTATGGTACAGGGCTCTGCGTTCTGCATATTTTTTACAGCTCACCAATGAGTATGTTGAGTAGGGTTGTATGATTATTGTTGTATATAGTATTATGCTATTTACACGAATCAAGTTTCATTTGAGCAATATATAGTGTTCTTCCATTTCTTTTACAGTTCAATCGATGAGTTTGTTGAGTAGCATCACTTGAGAGGGGATTGTAATGTACGGCGGTTCAACTCCATCATATAATTGCAAATTTCTTTGAACATCAATATGTGGCTGCCAATTTGATTATCGCCATAGCAATAATGATACTCGGAAGGTACAAATACATTTCAAGTTTTTCTCAAAATTCTACTAATAAAAAAAGAATACAGAGTTTTCTACAGATTATAGAATTTGTAAATTTCTCAGTTCAGATTATTAATATCTAGGAGTGAGTAGTTTTGGGTACCTTACACTTTTTTAAGGAACTGAAATCGACTAGTTCCTAAGATTTGGAATCGGAATCGGAACTAGCTGGTTCCCGTTCCTAGAAACCTGGAACCAGAACTTGAAACATAGTTTCTGCTTCCGATTCTCCAAACCTTTTTACCCCCCTACTTTTTAAAAAATGACAAATACACCCCCAAAACAGTACACACCCAACAGTTTATAAAAATTACAATTAAGTCTTGATTCCTACCTAGATACTTGGACCTTGATTCCGGTTCCCGGTTCTTGCAGTGCTAGAACCGGAATCGGACCCAGAAATTCTTGGTTCCAATTTTCCAGAATCGGAACTTGACCCTAATGTGGTCGGTTTTGATTCTACCCTTTACCCATGCTCATCCCTAATAATGTCTTATGTAACAGTTAATCCGATAAATCTGTCATATGAATTCATTGGATTACAAACAATAAACTAAAATCTGTGAGCATCCTGAAGCTAATATCTTAAATCAACATAATTCTTGTTCATAACATCTAATTCTTTTGCTTCCTGTACTTTATAACTCATTTAGAATTGAGTCTCTCCAGAATACCAGTCGGAGACCACAGTGAAATTTGGGGTTGTTGTAGCTGGAGAAATAATAATAGTTAAGCTCTGAAGCAATACAATTTAACATATCACATCCTAGTAAACAAACATAAAATTCTTTATATTCAAAATGATGTTCAATCAATGCCCATTTCAATTGAATCATAATAACAGTTACAACTGCTTCAAATCTTTCTGCAATAAACAAACAATTTGATACATGATAGGAAATACAGTGAAATGAAGAAATTTTTTTCCCTGCATTTCCTAAAATGCAAAGATAAAAGAACATGAACGATCTCTAAAACAGTGAACTACATCCTGGAGCATCACCAAAAGTCGCGATAAAGCCTCTTGACACTAAAATACAAACCTTCATCCTTGTTCTTCAGACTAACAGTTCAGCTCTATAGGATGAGCTAGCGAGCCCCAAGCTTGGGGCATCCCTCGGCAAGAGGCAAGTCCAAATTTTCTGTAATTCTAAATGTTTTCAGTACCATCTTATCAACATAGAGGGTTCCCTCTAGATGATCACACTCATGCTGTAAAATCCGTGCCTGCCAACCTGTAGCATCTACTTTGATGGGCTTGCCATCGCGATCCAAACCTGTAACCTCAACATCTAGATATCTCTCCACGACCGCTCTATATCTGTCAACACTGAATGACACGGCAATAAAATAAAGAAAAAGGATTACGAAAAATAAACTAAAATCTTTCGTAGCATCAAAGTCAAGGTTCTAACTGAATTTTCCGAAGTGCTGAAATCGTCCTTTTCATGTCTAGCAACTTGCATATATTTGTCAGTATTCATCGACTAACAAGAGAATCTATAATATAATTCTAAATTTACAATATCCAGATGAAAGAGAATAATTGCACACAGATCAATTATTTGGAGGATGGAAACTGACTGAACACCTGTCATATTTGATTATCAACAACTAATTCCTCCTATCAATGACACGAGTACCATTCATAATGCTTATTATCTATCAAATAACTCCATTATTTTAAGGAATTCATCCTAAACGAAGGATTTAAAACTTTAGAAAAGAGAATGGAATGATTAAATTTCTCTTAAGTTATCTTAAAACATCTAAACCATATTTGCGGCTAGTATGATTTTAATTTTAGTACATTTCTACAGCTTGTAGGAAGTTTAAAGGAAAAAAAAAGGAGAGATATTGCATGCTCGGGTAGGAGCAAAGCTAATTCATCCACTGTAATACTGAGTTTATAGAATTAAAAGTTGTGATAATGAACTGTACAACAGAAGGTAGAACTTGGACTCTAAAGTTTTGTGTGTCATCACATTTGACATAAAATAAGAATGGACAAGGCAACAGAGATCTGAAAGAGAATAATATCTACTCGGGAGAAAACCATTTTATAGCTGAAATTAACTGTTTAATCTTACCTCAAACAGCCCTCAAAAAATAGTTCAGTCTTGTTGCTCTTCTTTTTAAGCTTCGGGTTCAGAATCACCTGCCTCAAAAGAACTAATAGAGCGTAACTGTAAAGTGAAAACTCTTGGATGATAAGGATACGGTTGCCCTTGGATGAATTAACATACCAGAAGATTGAAAGGGTGTCTATCTTGTGCTTTAATTTCTTCCTTGGGCTGATAACTGATATATTCTCTTGTATCTTCTAAAACTATAATCTGCACAGATGAAACATGACATAGTTTTTACATAAATATGGTTTGCAATATCAGTATGTAGATTGGTTTGGAAGTACCAAACTCGCGGCCAGTGTCCCAGTTTGCACATATGTTAATACTTACTAACTAAAAGAGGTTCTTGTATCGTATACATTTCTTTTTTCACTTTATACACCTTATCTTAGAGAACCAGATAATTAGGCAAAAATTTCAAACACCATACATCAAGTACACTCATACAAAGCAAAAACTCAAAACAAAATTTCTCTTAGACGTTCAAGGTCTAAACCATTACTCATAAAGCACTAGTTTTACAGTACAAAAGATTTTCTTTGAGCACATTCGCATCAATGACCATCCACACGTCACATTATAGCCATCAGATTTCTCCAAAATTATACTCAACATTTCAGGATTTATCATCAATATAGGGAAAAAATACACATAAAAGAGTTGAAAATTTTATTTTATTTTTGTCTCAAAAGAACATCATCCTTTACTTGACATAGCTGAAAAAAACCGAACCATTAAAACAAACTACCAAATAAATTATGCATTAACTATCAACTTAAGCTTTCTCTAACACAGTTTAATCCTACTCAAAAACTTAAAAATGCAAGATGTAATTAAAAAACTTACTCTTAATGGGATTCCAATCTGAGGAGCAGCAAGCCCAACACCAGGAGCCGACTTCATAGCCTTAACCATATCGTCAATAATCTTCTGGATCCTCTCCGACAACTTCGCGGGCTGGCTCATGCAAAACAGGGTCACCCGCTTTTACTATCTCAGGTAAGCTAACTTTCTTCTTTTCTCCCAGACCCAGAAGCCAACCCGCCCTTCTAACCGTAGAGGACGTCCGGGATTTTCGGGTGGTGGAGAATGGGGCGGGGGTTTGGAGAGAGATGGGTATTCGGGTCGGGATAAAAATTGGGGCGGACTTTATATGTTTCTGGGCCAGAGTTAATGAAAGCAGACGGCCTGAGAAACGATGGATGGTCTCCATGGTGGCTGTGGTTCGGTTTTCTATGGGCGTGGCAATGGGGCGGGGCGGGACGGGGATTTCATTCACCGTACCCATCCCCACCCTCAAAATCATTCCCCACCCCCGCCCCATCCCCGTTACGAAGATGACAGGAATTCCCCTTCCCCGTCCCAAAGGAGAATGTTAGACGCCTGTCCTCGCCCCGTTAATTTTATATAAACATAAATTAATTTGAGCATTACCAAACACAATAGTTAATTCTCGTCCACATAACAAACACTTAAATTAATCGTTTAAACATAATTTATTATATATAAATATGGGTCAGGGTTTGTTCATGTTCAATTGTTTAAGGTGAGAGAAATTAAGAAAATATGAGTTTATATAGGTAGGATAATTTTGTAATTATGTGAAATATAGGGATATTAGTGAAAAGTAAATATATATATATACATTTTTTTAATTTTATATATTATATACGGGGCTGGCCGGGGGAAATGAATCACCCACCCCCGCCCCATCCTTGAGGACAGGGATTAAAACACCCTCCACCCCCGCCCCTATCCCCGAAAAAATCGGGGTTTCCCCGCTCCATATAGGGCAGGGCGGGACGGGTCCTCGAAATCCCGGTGAACATATAAATATTCACATATAAATATAATATTCACATACAAATATTAAGTAATTACCCTAATTTCTATATTGGGCTTAGTTGATATTTTATTTTATTCTTTGCACCCATACGTCTCAAATTATAGTCGAAATTTCCTTAAAATTCGAATATTATTTAAACCTTAATATTGCTTATGTTTTCCTTCAATACAAAAAGAATCTTATTCACTTAGTTTTTGATACGTCAAATTCAAAGCAATAATAGGAATTTAATATGGAAATAAGATAAGAATAAATATATTAAAAGAGTTAAAAACACTTTCTCCTAGTGTCTGGGCTAAGTAAATAAAAACCAAAAGAGTCTTTAATGAGGTCTAACCTAAACATTCTGTCTTTTAAATTTCACGCAATGGTAAAATTGAAAATTTGTAATAATAAAATAAATGAAAGACAAATGAATGATATTAGTAAGGGTGGACTGGTTGGAGTACCCGTCCAAATTCCATGAAATCGGAACTGGAATCGATCGGTTTCGGTTCCTAAATGTCTGGAATCAAAACTTGAAACACATGTTTTGTTTTCGGGTACCTGGAAAAATTACAAGGACCCCCTACTATTCACAAAAATGAAAACGTACCCTGTGAAAATAACAAATACACCCCCAACTGTTTACAAAAACTACAAATACACCGGGTTCCTCCCCACGTACCCGGATCTCGGTTCTGGTTCCAATTTTTGAGAATGGGAACTGACCTTGATAGGGTTGGTTTCGGGTAGGAACTGAAACCGAAACCGGAACCTTGGGTACCCGCCCGATTTCGGTTCTACCCTAAATTTCTATACACCCCCTAGATATTAGGTTCACATATAAATATAATATGCATTTAGAAATTCATAATATATATTTGAGATATTTTTAGTAATTTTCATTCAAGGTTAACATGTATGTTTATCTAGGGATGTATACAAGCCGAGTCGAGCTGAGTATCTTGGTACTCGAGCTTGGCTCGTGATGAACAGTAGCGAGCTCGAGCTCGAGCTCGAGCCGAGCTCAATCGAGCTTTAATATTCCTGTTCGAGCTTGAGCTCGCGAGTCTGAAGTGGTACTCAAGCTCGAGCACGAGCTCGAGCCTAATCGAGCTCAATAGTTTATTGTATTTTCTCTTTCTTCTTTTCACCTATCAATATCATCTCTTTTTTTTTTTTTTTTTTCTCTTTCTCCCCTCATTTTCTCTTTCTTCTTTTGATCTATCACCTCATTTTGTCACCTCAACTTTTTTTTTTCTCTTTTTCTCCCTCTTCCCTTTTCTTACTTCTTTAGATCTTCTCCTTCGTCTGTATTTTTTTTTTCTCCCCATTCTCTTCTCTTTCTTCTTTACTTCTTCCATATTCTCTTCTCTATTCTCACCTCCTTTTCTCTTTCTTCTCCTGCTCCTTCAGATTTTCTCCTTCATTAATTTTCTTTCACATTCTAAGCTCGAATGGAACCGAGGATTAATCAAGGTGAAAGAGATGAGTTTTTGTTTGAGCTTTGAAATGGGTTTTGAGTTTTTGTCTGTGAATGGGTCATGGGTGTTGTTTGTAATTTTGACAACTTAAAAATAAAACTTTTAAAATCTTGCAAATTGCCCCATAAGCTCGTTTAAGCTCGCGAGCCTGACGAGCCGAGCTCGGTCCGAATCGAACTCGGCTCGTCACTGTTTACGAGCTACTAGAGCTCGAACTCGACTCGACTGATTTCGAGCAGAGCTCGAGTAGCTCGCGAGCTACCCAGCTCGTGGCTCATCCCTATGTTTATCCATGTGAAACCTGTACAATATTATGACAACCAATTCACATATACCTACCCTAACTATCTTATAACAATAAATTTGCACCCTAAGTCTTGAAAACTAATCTACTCTGACACACCCATCCTTTTGTTCTTTAATTTTTTGCATCTTCTTTTTTTACATGCATAATCAGTCATCACCGTATTTTTTTGTCTTTCAATTTCTTTGTAGTCATATTTTTAGAATAATCTACCTGCCGACATGTCATTTCAAGATATAGAAATACGCCATTACCATTAAAGTATTTTTGATGTGTAATGTTGTTGTGATATCTTGCAACAACGAGAAATACAAGAGCCTTTCTGGGGAGTTTGCGCAAAGGATCTATGTTGCATGAGACTGTGAAATATGTTGTTGAACCCTTGGCTGATGACAAAAATAATGCGTTAAAGTAAATAAAGAATATACAAAAGTAGTTTTTAAAGTGGTTCAGATACAAGGTGAAATTCCTACGTTCATTGTATCTTATTGATGTGTTTATAAAAGATATTTGCTCTTAAGAGACAACTGCTCTATAGCTATGAGAAAATGAAATTCTAGATCCTTCATTTGGGATGGCAGACCCCTAGTTATAGTGTTGTATGGGTGATCTTACTCATGAAGCAACCCTCTTATCCTCTTATCGCATGACACATGGCCTAGCAAACCATTCCGTTGTAAGCTTATTAGTGAAATAGTCCACTCATAGCTCAATTGTGAATCTTATTGTTGAAGTAGAGCCCGGCAGTCTTATAGAGGAAGCCACCCTTCCTTGATATAACACATGGCCAAACACTTGCATGGTCATAAACACGTGGCAAGAGTTTAGACACCCATTGCTTAGTCATAAGACATGTGTCGAGATTTCATGCCTAACCAATATACCGTATAACATATAATGTGTTAGAGCAGGTACCGTACAATAGTGATCAGAGGCAAAGCAAAACATTTTTACCATATATATATATATATATATATATATATATATATGAATTCTATACAAATTCAATCAGAAGAGCAAAGTGGGTGTCGTCCACCTTTCATTGAAATTTGAAACCAATTAAACAACCTCAAGACCCTAGGCAACAAAGGGAGGCAAGATTTTCAGTCTTAGTCCTCTTGAAGCACTTGGTCAACTATTCAAAGTAAAATGTTTGATTTAGATATCTTAAGATTATTTTCTGGGTTGAGTTATTTTATTTTATTTTTTTACTTTGAATAGATTAATAAGGGGATATGTTCATGAATTGAAGAAAAAAATAATGTTATACATAATTTTTCAATTGGTGTCCTCTCTTAAATCCATGCACGTACATATGATATGCATTTAGAAATATTCACCTTTTAAAAGAATTATTGAATCAAATAACATTTACAAGCATTAATTGAAAAGTCATTAAAAAAAAAAAAAAAAACAAAAATATAGTAAACAATTCATCTTGGTTGCATGGGGAGTTGATTTTTTTTTTTTTTTAAATATATTCTATTTGAGTGAAATAACAATTGTGTGAATTATTTATATATCATGATTAAATAAACAGATTATATAGATATATATGTGTGTTCAAGAAACTTTCATTTCATTTTGTCACAATTTATTATAGTTCAAGTTTAAACTATGGTGCGTAGAGTCTATACCCTTCTAGTTAGCATAGAACTCAACCTGGTTGACATTGAACCCACTCCCACATTCATAGGGGTTACATACTCGGTGCAGGTGCGGTGTGCCAATAATAATTGCCAATATGCAATGCCTAATCATTTTCCTTTGAGGGTGCAATATATGCCAAACAGACCTATGACTTTTTAACCTAGAGTAATAAATTTTTGATTTTTCCTTTTATTTATTTTTTATATAGAATCTATTTTTTTTTTTTTTTTTCATTCTTTTAGTGCAAGGTTTGTAGACATCGTGGTTGTTTAATGATGGTGGGAAAACCAACGGCAACAAGACTTAGAACCGATAACGACTACAACATAGTCGTTTTTTACTGCAATAACTTAATGTTGATCGGATGTAGTTTCAACATTACATGTGTTATGCCTGAAAAGATAGGTCTGACGTGGAGCCTCGTCAATAAAGTATGGTCAGAGCTCAGAAGGATTCTGTACTGTCCAGGCGCGGCCACGTCGCCCCTAGCGCAAGTGGTGTGGCTCCTGTCAGTACAGTTGGTGAGTGCCAGGCTAGCAAGCGGCTGGAGATTGCCAACGTGTCAAAGCCCTGCATTAGTCGAGGAAATCCCTCGAGCAGGTGACCAATGAGACACAGAGAAAGATTTGCACGACACCTACCCACTTGCAGCTTTTATAATCATTACCTTGAACTCTCCCACTATAAATAGAGGAATTCTCTCTCATTTTGGGGGATTAGTCAATTTTACGCTTAAATAGCTCTCTCTCTCTCTTTCTCTCTCTCTCTCTAAACTGTAACTAAGCTCGTTGAACGCGACCTGGCTTCTCTCTTATCAATACAATAGCAGTGGACGTAGGATTCACTTTTGAGCATCCGAACCACTTTAAACATTGCTCTTTACCTTTTTATTTAATTCGATCTTTTCATATCACGTATGACTTCTAAGTTCTTTTAGCATTTTGCATGTGTGAGTAGTTGATATCAAAATCAAGCACCAACAGTTTGACGCTAAAAGGAGGGCCTGATTTAGTACCTACTCTTCATCAGAGAAATTCTGACTAATCGGTCCCATAACAACAAATGGCTCGTAGCTTCAAATCTGAGCGAACCAGTCATGGTAATGAAGCAATCCCCCAGGTATAGGAGGGTACTTCTCCCGAAGTGCCACCAGTCCAGCAAAATATCATAAGAGATATTCCTTCAAGCTCATAGCCCGACCCAACTATCATGAGTTACCTGGAGAGGTTCAATAATACTCTTCAAACGGTTAGCCGAAGGCTAGACCGATTGGATCGGGTCGTGCCATCCGAATCCAATGAGGCGGTGCTACCGCCAAAAATACCTGCAGGTCGCGTGAAAGCGCAGAAAATGGCAAAAGCCCATGCCTTAAAGTTTTGATTAATTAAGTGAATAACTGGAATTATGATCCAAGTAAAAATGTTTTAATTTTATTAAAATAATTATTTTTGAATAAAATAGTAGATTTGATTGAATAATATTTACTTCAATTATCAAGTTCTAAATATATCTATAGTAAATTAGTAATTATATAAGATAAATTGATGAACATTAATACATTATTTAATTAAATGATTAAATATTTAATTAATTATAACATTATAGTATGACAACTCAAGGTATATTAAGAAAGGTTAGTGTTTTGTAATCAAACTTAAATAAATGCCATTAGTACATGATAAATTAATTATATATTAAAAAAAGTAATTATATATGATAAATTCATGAAAATTAGTATATTACCTAATTAAATGATTAGATATTTAATTAATTATAATATTATAGTATGAAAACTCAGAGTATATTAAGAAAGGTATTCACAATTTATATTAACCTGACAGGCTATTCGCAATTTATGTATGATAAATTGCGAGATTTTGTCGCCATTTTTTTTAATTATTATTTTTTATTTTTCTTAAATTATTTTAATATAATATTATTTTTTATTTTTAATAATTATTTTTTATCAATATTATATATATTTTTTAAATTGGGCTACATCTTTAACCCTAGAAAAGGGATTTAGTTCATAATTGCAATAATAAAAACCATCATTGTATTCAATAACATGAGTTCAAGAAAGAAAAATATAAAAACTTCTCTAATTGGCGAATGAGAACTACAAGAATTTCGATCTCCAAAATAGTAGCCATCTTTTCTCCTTCTCTAATCCATTAAAAACTACTTAAAGACCCTTATTTATAGTGCTAGGGTTTGGAGGTTACTTAGGAAAGAATTAAATGCCTTAACCCATTGAGTTTCGGACTAGGAGAATGCAATAACCCAAACAGGCCCGTGACCCATCGCTGTGGCGATAATAAACGGTTGCTGCGGCGATTGTTCTTTCTGTCCCATGAGTCCGTGATATTCAGAATTTAGAAAAGTCTTCAACATGAGCTCTCTGAATAAGCTTTCCAATGCCACAAGAATTGTTGAATTCCGATTTCTACAGCTCAAGTTATGATCGAAACATCGAAGCATACTCATCTTAAAGGATTTCCAGATCTACGTTGTATCTTCAACGTATCACAACTTTCTCGTTTCAACTCCGATTCTTGCACTGTTTGTTCATACTTGTCATGAATTCCATCGACATCATTCTTTTTCCATCAAATATCGGTTTGAACCTAAAAATACTCAAAATACACCTGTGATCCCGTAAAAGGTATGTATTAAATAATTAATTCAAATTCCATAAATTAAACACATTTTTCCACAAATAATCCAATTAAATCACTAACAAAATATATACTTTTAAGCTCTTATCACAACCCCCAACTAGCTTTTTGCTAGTCCCTAGCAAATTAAGCGATAAAATTAGTCTCTAAGCTTAAAAATAAAACAACCAATTAAAACCTATATCTAAACTATTTTAAATCACTTTCGTAGATTGACACGATTGCATTTAGCGTATGCAACAAGCCTTTAAACCCCTAAGCGGCTCTAGTTGGACGAGTTGTAGTCTTGTGAGGGTTTCCAGCGATGATAACCCCAAACATCCACACTAAACTTAACCTAAACTCCAAAAATAAAAATAAACATAAAAAGAATTGAAACTAACAAAAATTCTTGGATCAATTCATAAAGTTGTCTCAAAATCGCATATACACAAAACAAATAGAATAATTAAAAATTGCCTAAACTCACAGACAATGCAAACGTCAATTCCATTTTCGTTATCAACCCTAAAACATTCATACAACCATAAACCATTAGTCTACAAAACTCGGATGGTTTTATGCATAACATTCATGAACAGAATTTTGATCTCAGTATTTGGGTTATGACTTTTATGTGAATCATGGAATCAAACTCCATAGGCTCACTTTTCAAATCACTCTCCACTAATGTAGAATTTCACATTACCTTGGATCAATAGGTCTTTGTAAATGTTGTAAGGTTAGGCTAGGGTATGAGCTCATGAAGGAATGAAAAGGGAAATTAACAAAAATCAAATTAAGAGACTTAATTTTCATTCATTCTTATTACTATCATACAAAAACACTTCCCTTTTTCACTCAATAGCTTCCCAACCTTTATCGAGGTCTTTCTTTTCGACAGTAATAAAACCCATTTGCATAATTCCAAATCTTCACAATGCTTTTCAATGCCCACTTTTCTTTTCTTTCTCTTTTTTTTTCCTTTTTTTTTTTCCTTTTTTTACAACAATAATATGAAGAAACTAGAAAACACACACACAACCCCACTGATCTTACAAGCACTCCACAACCCCCAACCAATTTCTTCGCATAAACCTGGGTTGTGGCAAAACTACAGTTCCTCACCAATACTTGTACTAAGCTTGAATAACAGTTAAGTCTCTTAAGGATTAAATGGGTAGGATTGTGTTTTAGGCTCATAATCAGGGTAGGGAAAAAATTAAGTTCAAAGAAAGAAAAACAAGGCTAAATTGTGTTTAAAAGGCTCAAAGGGTTAACTAGCGATGATAATAAAAAAGGTCGGCTTGAAAGACTCAATCGGTCTAAAAATAGCCTAAATAATTTCCTAAGTGATGTGAACTCTAGGATTTCGCCTCGAGTGGTTGTCAAATGAATTCTAGAGTTTGTTGAGATCACAAAAAATGTTCATGGAAAATTTACACATAAAACGTCTCTAAGTAGGTAAACTTAACCACTTCCAATCCACAAATCGCTAGGGTCTCAAACTAAATGTCATTAACATTTACAATCATCCGTAATTAAAGGCAAAAATTAATTTCCTCCATTTGTTACATGTTATTGCAATCACATTCCTATCATAGCCATATAAATTAATTCAAGAATAGAACCAAAATTCAAAACAGAACACAAAAATAAAAAAAATAAAAATTCTCATAAATCCATAAATTCAAAGTCTTTGGGAAGAAACTTCCCTTACCCCCAACCTAAAATCTAAATTTTCCCCAATGTACAAATATAAACAAAAGGAAAAAAGAGAAAAAGAAAAGTTACCCCTTTTTGCAATAGTGAATTGCGAATATGCGTGACAATTCGATCACCAACACGTTTCATTCCATTGTTCTCTTTTAATTCTGTCAAAACAAAGAAACTTGTAGTGCACCTCATAAGAAACACACATCACGTGTTAAATTTATGAATTTAGAGAAACAACCACAACATCAAAATTATTTACACAAAACAGAAAAAAAATAAAAATAAACATACTTGAAAATTAGCACTTGCAAAAATAACACACTAATCAATAAAATAAAAATAAAAATAAAAAGCTTAGGTTGCCTCCCAAAAGCGCTTGGTTAAAGTCATAAGCTTGACTTTTCATTTTCTTCAATCCGGATCATCTAGGAAAATCCAAGCCCTCATATCCTTAATTTCACCATTTAGATAGAGCTTTAATTGTTGTTCATCTACATCTCAAAGTCAACCTCCATAGTCCCAGAGTTGACTAAACAATTCTCTAGGGGTGAACTAGGGTAGTTTTCTTCTAATTTTTTATTCACTATGTTATCAAAGACACTAATCTCAAAGCATGTGTCTAAGTCGGATGGATGCTTCTTAACATAAAAAACATTAAACTCTACTTACTCATCTTCTACTCTTAAGATTAGTTTCCCTTGATGAACATCTATCAATGCTTTACCCGTGGCTAGGAAAGGTCGTCCTAGGATTAAAGGCATTTCCTGATCTTCCTCCATGTCTAACACTATGAAATCTATTGAGAAAATCAGTTTATCTACCTTAATCAAGACGTTTTCTACCACCCCCCTAGGATATGTTATTGATCGATCTGCCAATTGGAAAGACACAGTGGTTGGCTTCACTTCTCCTAATCCAAGTTTCC